ATATATATATATATATATATATATATATATATTTCTGTAGTAGTGCTAGGGACAGACTGGCCAAAGACCAAACACTCCAGGGTCCCCAAGAGATCACTATGTTTTTAGGGCCAGGTGTGATTATGAAGCTTTACCCAAAGATCTGGAGATGGGAACTGGGGTGAATAGGAGAGGTAATTCAGTCATTGGAGTCGGGGGCCGGAACATTATGAGTGTTCAATAAATATGAAGTAATGAGAATGATAGTAATGGTGATGATATCCTTGTGAATTTAAGAATGAATGACTATGAGTCTATCATATCTATTTGCAAATGATTTTATCGGAACCAGTCAAAAGCCAATGTAGTTGATGAGGAATGGGCTATAAAAATACAGAGAGGTCCCTATGGCATTCAACCCACCATCCCAAAATGTCTTTAATGAATAGAGTTTGGTTGGGGGGTAGGGGGATGGGGAGGTCTCATCTCAGAAGTACCAGATATAGATCAAGGCTTCTCACCACATCCTTAGAATCATCACTTTTAATTTTTCCCTCTGATGCTTTGGAGTGACTTTGAAGTGCCCTTCCTCCAGTCCCTTGACATCTTTACATTGGGAGAGCCCAGAACACTGGGAGGGCTAGAATATCCATCTTCCCATATATACACATTCACAACCTGGCCATTCCTGACATACCCAGGAGGATAAAGGCTTTCACTAGATGGGAAAAAAAAAGTCCAACTTTTCACTCCACAGAAAGCCTGACTGCACAGGTGAGAGGTATTTCCAATCTTAATAGGCACTGGATCTCTTAAAAAACCAAACTCAGAGTGACCCTATAGAACAGAATAGAACGGCCCCATAGGGTTTCCAAGACTATAATCTTTAGGGAAGCAGACTGCTGTCAGTTAACAGCTGAGCACTTAACCACTGTGCCACCAGGGCTCCTTCTGGATCTCTTTAAACCAAACACATTGCCATTGAGATGATTCTAACTCCTAGTGGGCCTATAGGACAGAGTAGAACTGCCCCATAGGGTTCCTAAGGCTATAAAATTTTACAGAAGCAGACTGCCTCATCTTTTTCACATGGAGCCATTGGTGGGTTCAAACTACCAGCTTTTTGGTTAGTAGCCAAATGCTTTAACCACTGTGCCACCAGAGCTCTTTCTGGATCTCTCACAGCCCCTCAACTCCTTGTCTCTTTGGCATTCCCCTATCCTGGGTATCTGATCCTGGTTATTTGTTCCTCAGCTCTTGACCCCATGGAATGCAGATCCCCTTCCCAGGAAGCCTCTTGTCCCTTACCTCCCCCAAACCAAATTATGTCTTCAACCTAGGCTATTCCCTATACTCAAGCATTCCCACTCATTTTCAGAAATCAGCTGACTCCTCAACTTTTTCTCTCTTCATGTATCCTGACTATATTCTTTGGCAACACTGGGTCCTGGAACTGCTTCCAGTTATCAAAGGTACCAAAGTCCCCTGAGATAAATGATAATGCTGGTAGAAGCAGAGAGGTAGAAGCTGGACCCAGCAACTAAGCAATGGATGGAGTCAGAAAAAGCCTAAGCAGTACTACAGCGTCTGCAATGAACTTGATTTATTGTTAGAGTTGGAGGTGGCTCCATTACAGCAGCTGGGAAGTATAGCAAGGAAGTGTGGGGAGGAGCACAGCACAGCAGTAAGGGGATGGTGGGAGCTGGAAGAAAACAAGGCAGGCTCATTTTGGTTTCTACACAGTTTGGCAGAGAAGCCTAGCCCAGATGACTGTCAGCCTCTGGGTTTCTCAGTCCAGCAGTAGTCTGGCAGGGCTACTCATTGGCTTGTTTGAGGTGAGGTCCTCCATGGGGTAGTATTTTCATTTCACTCTATAGGCATTAAGCTTTAGCTCAGCTTCATCTTCTTTTCTTTCCTCCGTCTCATTTTCCTCAAGTCCTCTCGCGTGGCCTGAACCTCCCATATCCTCTAAGAATTTGGGGCTGAAGAGGCAGCCATTATTCCCATTTCAGCTGCAGGATGGCATAGTGGAATGTTGGGGAGTCAAATGTTGGGGAGTCATTGCTTGGGTGTCAAATGTTGGGATGTCAGGCAATGGCTTATTTTTAACCCATTACACACCAGGCCATAGCAGATGACCACATGCAGAGAAGCCAAGCAGGGGATGAGAAAGGATCAGGATAATTGGAATAGGATGGGTGACAAACTTCAAAGGATCAGGGAGTTTGAAATAATTCTGGGTTGGGACTGGGCTCTCCTTGCCCCTTTGTACTGCCCAGTAGGCCTGGTCTGGGTACACCCCTGGGGATGTGAATGGTATGAAACAGAGGCTGGGGGAGAGGATAGCTCCATTCTTCTCCCCCAGTTTGTTGGTCAAAAGAGCTTCAAGTTTTGGATTGAGACATTCAGATATGCAGGGAAGCAGTGGGACAGTGTAGCAGCGGTGTATTCCCAGCCCCCTACTGGAACCCAGACCCTGGTGGGTAAGGGAATGGGAGATGGAGGAAAGGGTGCAGCTCTGGGTACCTCACTGACATATCCTGTCCTCAGGTCACATAAATTACTACTAGAAATCCTGCCTAGGATGTGAAATAAATAGATTGACATAAAAAGGTCCCTGGGGTTGGGGATACCTCCCTCCATGAGGGAGGAGGCTGCTTTCTGAGACCCATCCTCACTCCCCACCCAATTCCAGCATTTGGCAGTGCTAAGACAAGGTGTCACTCCAGGGTTCTTAGGCATCAGATGACCTTCTATCCTCATTGTATGCCCTCCTCGTGTTGTATTCCTATTACCTTTCTATTCCTGTAAACTTTGGTTTTGAGATCTCTCTCAGATATGGGTGAGGGGGAGACAACTCCTCCCATTTAGCACAGCCCAAGTCCCTACAACAAGGCATCTGCCTACCCTCCACCCCCAGCTCCCATCTCCCTCAACCCCAAAGGACTTAGCAGTAGCCATTTTCTAAGGGAGCTGGGAGAGAAGGGATCCTTAGGGAAGGGAGTGTGGTTCTTTCAGAACTCAATCTTGCAGGCTGGAAAGGACTCATCCTGCATAACCACAGTGCTGCTGCTAGCCAAGACCAGGACGTTCAGTTGTTGCTGCTGTTCATGAGTCTGCTGGTACCACTCACGAGTCACTTCTGTGTCATGAGTAGGGATCAGAGTCACCTAGGAGGGAGATAAGACATGTCTGATGTGAGAATGTGAAGGGAAGAAGGTAAGTGAAGGGGTGGGGCACCTGAAGGTCTCCCCAGACATTGCTACCTATAGAAAGTATCCAGTCCTTTTAAGAATAGGGAATGTGTTCCACTATTGCCTCTGAGTGAGATTTGACTAAATTATCTCCTTACAGTCCCTTGCTACTCACCTGAAGATTCTCCCCCCACTGGGCCTTGCCTTCCAGCAGGGCATCCAGTACAGCCCGGCTTGGCTCGCCATTGGCAGGGTCATTCCCACTGACCACATAGTAGGATGCACGAACCCGACGGAAGAAGTCAAGGTCAGCAGTCTTGCCACTGCAATGATTCGGGATATAGGCGAGATCCACATACACAGGAGCACCAGAGCCACCCTTGGAACCCAAGGCCGCTGTAGAGATAAGCCAGCACTCATTGTAGAGGGAAGGGAGAACACTTTTGGCAACTTTCTCCCTCCCTCCCATTCATGGAGGCTTTGACCTGCCACACCCACCCCAACCTACCCTCTCTTCCACTTTTATACTTACTTGGTCCTGCCTTGAGTCCATTGACTAGGCCTTTGGACATGGGACTGTGTCCATCTTTTTCCTCTCCTGGGGCAACCTGGCTTGGAGTGCTCCGTGGTCGGAGTGGGGTCCGGGATGCTCGATCTGCAGGCCCTTTACCAGGGGTGGGTGAACGTTTCCCTCGAAGATCTAGACGCCGTGCGGGGGATCCTGGCTTGGCTCTGCCTGGGGCCCTGCGCCCTACTCGCCCCTGAGCCTTCTCCTTTTCTCGTAGCCTTTCCACCCTCCCAGACTCTGAGCTGAGCCCCTCAGGGTCGGCCATGCACACATCAGGGCGAGGAGGGGATGGGTGGGGGTCTGGCTGGGGTATAGGGGGTGGGTCATGGCCAGGCCGGGGATGGTGAGTTCCACTGACTCCCCCAGCTTTGTCCACAGGCAAGAAGTCCCCATCTTCATCTGAGTCAAGGGCTGCCTCAGCTGTGATGGATGGACACTCCTCAGTTTCTGGTGGAACATCAGAATCTGACTGTGAGGAGCCTGAGTCACTGGCTGATGTTGGGGGTGTCTCATCAGCCACAGGGCATGGGCCTCCTGTTGCCCCTGGGCCCCCCACCCTGCGTCTTCCCCCTCTCCCTTCCAGCCGAGCTTCCTCAGTCGACAAGTCACTGTCTTCTGTGGATCGGGACAGGGGTGGGTTCAGGAAGGATGGGGAAAGCTCTCCACGGTGGGGCCGAGGCTCAGCAGCACATCCCTGGGGCCCAGCCTCAGCCTCAGGGGAGACACTGCTGGGTCGGCCTTCAGGGACTCCTCCAGAACTCAGTGGCTGCTCAGGGGAGAGCAGTGTGTCAGGTCGGGTGCCCCTCTCAGCTCCCTCAGGCCAGGCCCCTCGTTCCCAGGCAGGGCAAGTCTCAGCCTTTTCCTTCTCAGCCTGGGCC